CTATGACAGATTTTTGGAAAATAGAGCGACCAAAGTGGAAGGAAGAGTTTTATAGCCTACTGGAGCGGAAGGCAGAATGGCGATGGAATGACACGCACCGTAAGGCGTTCCAGAAATGGAAGCAATTAGTAGTGCAGTACACAGTGCTAGCACACTGTGATGAAAGGAAACCAGTACTGCTGTCATGCGATGCTTCACCATATGGTGTGGGTGACGTGCTTGCACAGGTGGACTCAGACGGCCGAGAGGCTCCGATTGTATTTGCGTCCAGGACGCTAGGAACTTCCGAGTGAAACTATTTTCAGCTTGACCGAGAAGGCCTGGCCATTGTGTTGTGAGTCAACCATTTCCATCAGTACGTCGCAGGACGGCGTGTGATCATCTACACAGACCACCAGCCTCTGCTGGGCATCCTCGGAACTAAGAAGCCTGTTCCACAAGTCCTGCCCCCGAGAATGATCCGGTGGTGTGTCAGACTGGCAGCTTATAACCGCGAGTTAAGATACCGACCAGGAAAATGTCATCAGAATACAGACGCCCTTAGCCGGCTTCTGCTGTCAACCATTGAAAATGAGCCGGAGGTTCCAGGAGAGAGCCTGATGTTTGGGGCTTTGTCTCGTCCACCATTCCGTCCAACAAGTGGCGAGAGAGACCGCAGGCACCGGCGTCCATGCGAATGTCTACCGAGCCATCCTAGAGGGTAACCTTGACCGGTTTTAAACACCGGAGGACTAGGCGTATAGATCCAAAGAGGCAGGGCTCTCAAACCACAGGTGATGTGTAAGTTGGGGAGCACAAATCGTGATTCCTACACAACTGAGAAAAGACACGATAGCTCTGATGCACTCTGGACCTCGCGGGATTGTGGCAATGAAAGCCTCCACTCGGAGCTATGTTTGGTGGCCCGGAGTATATAGAGATATCGAGACAGCAGTTGCAGAATGCAGCCCCTGTCAGATGCACCAAAAGTGTTCACCCAAAGAACCTATCCCTGACACCCTTCACCTGGACTTTGCAGTTCCGGTCAATGGTCAGGTTTTCCTGGTTGCGGTGGACGCTTTTACCGAATGGCTCGAAGTTCGGGCAGCCTGTAGTTCCATATAGGGAACTACGGGCCACTTTTGCGACATTCGGCCTGCCAAGTAAAGTTGTGTCGGACAATGCAGCAGCGCTGGTGTCAGAGGAAATTATAACATTTTACCCGAACAACGGCATCCTGGCGGTGAGAAGTGCACCGTACCATCCTGCCACAAAAGACAGGCGGAACGCATAATAAAGGAGCTCAAAATCGCTCTTGCCAAGAGAGGGAAGGAAGAACTATGGTGTGCGCTGGCATTTTTTTTTTTTTTTTTAAAGATAACCCCTTTACGTTATTACGGGCAAAACGCCCCCTTCGCTCTGATGTATCGAAGGGAGCTTCCATCGGCTTTGGAACGACTAAAATATGTTAGGTTTAAAAAAACTTGTGAGAACGGCCGATTCCTCTACCCTCTCGGAAGAACCTGACACGGGCCCACATGAACTTAGTGTGGGACAGGCAGCTTTAACGAAGAAGTTACCAAGCAGTCAAGGATGGACTACTGGAGTGGTCAAACGTCGAACGGGCCTACGCTTATGGATGGTCCGCATTGATCAAAGGTTGGTGCGCCGTCATCGCAACCGTATACGAAAGTGATGGACGAACACCGAGGTGCGAGAAAAAGTGGACATGTGGCCTCCTGTCAGGGACATTCAGATGGACAGCTCGGCTCCAAAGCAGCCACTATCGCACAACTCTCACAATCAGGCCCAACCAGTCAGACCACATCCAGGAGCTGGCGACAAGCCAACGGCTTCGCCTCAGGAACCAGTGTCATTGTCTTCGAAGTCTGGCACAAATCCGGCTCCGGGTACCCACCGGGCCACCAGAACCCTACGACCTGCGCAACGCTACGGGTACCCCAGTTAATTACAAAAGGTGTTATGTGCTGACTGGCAGACTGGTGTCTATCAGCTCGTGGCCACTCGAGGAGCGTGGGCACTGAGCGGGCAAACGAACGCAGGGCTCAACATTGATGTAACCAATTTGACCAGTGGTCTTCTGTTCACCGACGCGATGTAACAAAGACATTTACAGTTCCCGGACCTCAGGCTGACACTTATAAGGAACTACTTATGTTGGATGTGCGAGCCACGCTCAATGAAGGGAATTCATTTGTTTATCTCGGATCACTAATAAGTTGTGAAAAGAGGAATTGTTTGCACGTGTGTCAAGGCGTTCTTTAAGAAAGCGTGCAGGCCCACCGCACAAGAGAGCTTTGCGAAACTGGTGGCGCGGTCACAGAAGGCGATTTACTCTCGAAGCACTCTATTAGCGGTGGCGAAGGGTCTAGTAAGAAAGATCAATGGGACTAAGGGCAAACCCACGATAGAAACGCATCGAGGCCGAGAATTATGCAGTATATGCACTCAGTGACCCATAATCTCAACCAAATAGCTAATCGCTACGATGTACTTGTGCTTTCTTTCGGCTCCCGAAAAGCCGTCGAAATCGTGCAGCAGAATAAACAATCACCCGAGATGTCGCAGATCCATGCAAAACCGTGCACCGCAAAAATTTCAATGAATGCTCTATGGGAGGCGTATAGCCGATCGCCTGGACCCCCAACGCGGCGAAGGAAAACAAAAAGAGAGAGAGAGGCGGACACTCTAGCAACGATAGGCGCCCTAGCAACGGCGCTCATCACGCCGGGCGGGAAGTTGGAATTCAGATCAGGACGGCGGATGTAACTCTTGGGAGCGTGTTAACCCAGTCCCTCCCTCCCTCCCCCCCCCCCCCCCCCCTGCGTTCGCGCCACTTCGCCGTGACAGTCTACGGCTTCACATTACAAATCTATTAACCCACTTGGCCCCTCCCGTACACGCTGCTTCGCTGTTTGATCAGGCAACCCAAGCCCCACTGTCCCCGATGCACCTCCGGAAAAGGAGTCTCATACCGTTTAGCTCAGTAATGCTTCGTCGACAACATTCCTTCTTTTTCAGTGTTAATCGTAAAAAAAGAAAAAAATGTCGTAAATATCGTTAAATGCCACGACAAAATACAATGTTCGAGAAAAAAATATAAAAAATAAGCCCACACTGTGGATCGAACCGGGGTCCGCTGCGTGTGAGACAGAAAGCTTACCACAAAGCTACATTAGCGCTTCGGAGGCTCGTTTTAACCGCTGCCTATGTTGACGGTGGAAGCGTCTATCCCCACGAGCCAGCTAATCTGGCTTGAGCGCCGTTGCTAGGGTGTCCTCCACTCCATCTTTTTAATTTCCCTCGCCGCGTTGGGGGCCGAGGCGGTCGAATTCACGCCCACGGGAGTGGGCTATGAAATACTCATGTCATGCAGATCGCATCGGCCAGACAGGCAGATGTTTCAACGATCGCGCACGTGAACATGCTCTGGCTACAGAGACAACGTAGGATCATCCCGCCAGCCATTGTTGTCGTTGCCCTTGCGCCTTGTCATTCAGTGATGCTAAGATTTTGGCAAGGCTTCCTCAATACAATATCTAGAGGGCTGCATGAAGCAGTTCAAATCGGGGCAATATATTTTAGTGGCACTTTATTTTCGTTATCGGCTAAGCAATATGCACTCACTCTTGGAACGGGGGCTACACAGGCAATAGTCATGACTGTGCATTTTGTGAAGGCTAGATAAGTTATATGGCGAGCTAGTGTTCTACAATACGTAGGGTTGTGCGAATAGTGGTTCGAATTGAATAGCGCTGCGTCAATCATAGCCTTTACAGTGAATGGGAAAGCCAAGACGGATAGTTCCTTCAGCAGTACAGAAGCTAGCGATGACGGTGCGCTACTCGACCTTCATCACTATTTGCACACCCCTAACAATGCGTCGTTGGTACATCGAAACGGAAATAGCGGAAATTCAATGAAAGGGCAACACAGAGAAAGCACGATGACGTGGCAGACAAGCTCGCGCCGCAATTATTTAAGGGCGGGGGTAAGCAAACGCACGGGATGCGCAAGGAGCGGTCGAACTTGCACTCCGCATGGGCTTTAAAAAAAAAAAAATGTTAGTTATGAGTCGCCCTGTTTCATTTACCTCATCCGTTCTTGTATAGTTTTGGCGTTTTTAATGCGAGAGCGTTAACTCTCCCATGGAGCGAGCCCACGTCATCAGCCGCGCCAAACGGCAGATAAATTCCCGAAGTCGGAATTTGAGGCATCCCAGCTTTGAAACCACGCAAAAAGTCACACAAAGCGGTAGTGATATGAAGCCGCCGTGCGTCAGTTTCAATTAGCGCCTCCCCATGGCGCTGCGTTTCCGCGTGACAACAGCTCCATCGCCCCACGCCCAAGGTCAACGTGGCAAGGAGAACGCGCGCGCTCGACCGTCGACGCAAGTACGCCGCAGACGAAATAAGGGAACGGAGGAACGCCATGCGTGCTTTCGCATTCGCAACTCATAAGAAGTGGCAAGGTATACCATGCAGCCCCTTTTTTAGTTTGCTGTATTTGAAATATTACAGTCTTAGATATTCCTAGTAGTTTGCACTGAACGTAATTTGTATTATTAATGTTTGCAGTAACAAAATATTTGTATGCCTTTCAGGAAGAATCCCGTGTTCTCGTAAAGGCTCTTTCTGACCGAAATGGAAAACCTGTGCTCATCAGAAAATTTATCATGTCCAGCATATCGGCACATATCACGACACTGCTATTTGGAGTTCGGTACACCCATGATCACCCAGTGCGCATTTTTCTGAACAACAGTTTCAAGACAGCCGGACAAATACTGTCCCTAAGAACGCTCGTCCTCTTTGTGCCGACCTGGCTCTACAGAATTCTCGGCTTGATTCCATTCAGCCGATACTACACGGTAAAAGCCGCATTTCGAGGAGTCGTAAAGTTTATCAAGTGAGTTGATGTTATTTTTGAATAACGTGTTATATCAGCGGTTCCATTCTTGCTCGTGTCCGAAATCGAGTTTTGCGGAAGGCAACAGGGCAATGAAAATCAAACGTTTCATTGCACGCTATCTCCACAAAAGTGTCGATAAACTTGACGTTTATTTAACGTATCTGGCAATGTAAAATGATGCCGGTTCTGAACTACGATGAAAGGCTATATTCTTACAAGAGGACAACGCGAATATAAGAGCGCCTTATGTTTAACGCAGGAAGCAAGTAAATGACCACATGGAGACACAAAACGACCATTCCAGTCGTGACTACATTGACGCATTCCTCAAGGAAGCGAAAGAACGACGCAGCGATGTGAAATCTTATATTCGAGGTAAGTACAGGAATTCTTGAAATGAACATCGGGAGAAAGGATTATGTCTGCATAGGATTGTGTGGATTATGTGGACATACCTACATTAAAACGCAAACCACAGTTGGTCTCCAACAAGTATTACAATCGCAAAAAAGTCCTTCCTTGCGATATTTAGATGAGCAAAAAATACCTTCGCACTGATGAAGGGTAATATGAATACTTCTAAAACAGGAGTTGGAAACCTTTTCGCTGCAGCAGGCCAAGTCGCTGGGAAACAGTGGCGGATATTTCCAGATGAAAAACGGGGGGGAAGGGGGGGGGGGGAGGGGCTTCCGAATGTAAACGATAAGATGCAAAGTCTACTGCTATGCCCTGTGCTGTACGTGGTATCTTGCGAGCCCATTGGGGTGCAGTACGTACCGCCTGCATCGTTTTCAAAATTTTCAAGGGATCACAGTTCGGATTTCAACCACCGATGACCCTGACTAACTAAAATCCATGAGTCTGATTGCTCTTTATAATGATGGACTACAAGATTTATGCTAGAATTCTGAACATTCGCTTGGCCAGAATCTCTATAGTAAGCATCCCTGTGTAACAGAAACAGTTGAAATTGACACTGTCACAAAACCGCAATTTCAAACAATTTATGCTGGATGCGATGACCTTAAATCTTGGTTGTCAATACATCAGCTTTGTGCACAGTAACTGCGAATAAGTGATGCACACAACGAACCTGCATATAAAACTAAGCCTGTGGTGTATTGCTTCGGAATTAATACGCCCAAATACACAAGGTTTACAACCAACCTTGTTTCTTGAGCCGTTAGTCCTCGAGAATATATGTGCGTGCGTGTGCGTGTGTCTGGGGAAGGGGGGGGGGGGGTAGGTGGAGGGAAGGGTTTTCTGTTAGCGTGTCAGGGGCTGTACCATATGGTCTTGCGGGACAGATCCGGGCCGCCGGTGGCTAATTCCTGGTCTAAGACGTACAGAGGGAGCAAGTATTTTCACGTGCGTCCTTTCATTAGTGCATCGGAACGCAAGCATGGAACTGGCAGAGTAACATAGCAGATCGCGTGCAGAACGTACGATAAGGAAGCAGCCACGAACTTGCCGTCAATCCTTAAGGTCGGGAAAAAACAAAAGCACGTGAGCATATTTGGCTGGTAACCAAACGCAGGATGTGGGCAAGGGCCAGACGACTTTGCACGCCGGACATATCAATATTCTGTAGTTGGTAGAAGATTATTGATTAAAAGAAACCCTAACCATTTCTAGACAGATTTGAAATTTGCGCTGAAACGAAGCTCATTTACCGTAAAAGCACCGAGAATTGTTTTTTAAAATTTCTTTTAGTTTAAATGGTAATACAATTTCCAAATTGAAAGATATAAAAAAGCAAGCAAAAAATAGGCTCTGTGGCGTGGTTGGCTAGAGTCCAGAAGGCCACATTGAAATTAGAGAAACGGCAGGTCCGCTCATCCAAACACGATTATTCACCTTTGCATTGTCGTGCTGCTATCGGTATTTTCGGCACGGAGATCCCTTTTTTACCTTGAATCTCGACGGCTTCCCCCAGAATACTTGTTTTTGTAACTGCATGCCTGTTGGTTAACTGGTGCATGCACCAGGCCTAGTTCCTGCGGCATCGGGTGGCAAGCACTCGTTGCATGAAAATGCCTGGGTATGGCCATGCGGCCCGAGGTCTTCGAATAGTCTACAGAATTTGAATTGGGGCAATGGAAAAGGAATGAAAGATGAGAATGCCTATTTTTTGTCCCGCATTAGCATTTGCAAGTTTAAAGTCAATTTAAGATAGATCAGGAGAATAAAAGTACCAAAGATATATATAAATATTTTTTTTTTATAAAACGCGAATTTGATAAAAAGAACTAACGAAACTTGGTCGGGGTGAGGACGAGCTCACCGGACGTCAGCTCCATCACCCCCTTGCCTAATTTATGATCTTATTGATTCGTCTTGATCTTGAGCTTGTTTTGAGCGATCTTCTAAGTATTCTTTGGTTAATTGTCTTGTCGTGTGTTCAACATCTGCTTATTTAAACGGTTTGAAACTTGGGGCATGGGGGTTAATGAATACAGAAAATTTTGAAAATAAATTAATTCCTCCAACCCAGTCATGTACACGTTACTAAAAATAAGTAATCGATTACAATTACTATTACTCTTGGCTAAAAAGTATTCGATTAGATTACTTGATTACTCGACAGCAAAAGCAACGGGACATTACTTTAAGAAGTAATCGTTACTTTTCTGATTACTTTATTGTGTGAAGACTTACAACTTTAGCGCTCATAACAATGAATTACCTCCAACCTCGAAACGTTGCTTGTCGCAAAGACCACGTAGGGGAAATATGGGATCTTGACGTGTATTTGAACTGGCTTTGTTATATTTTGCATCCGCTTTAGACATTCTTCGGTTCTGGCTCTCCTAGGGGTGCGAGTAGGTACCGTTAGCAGGATTGTTTTTTTTTTGTTTTTTTTTTCGTATTTCTGTGTGTGCGCGCGAGGGGGCTAGTTTGAACGAAGGACTTACAAAGCTACATTCTGCTCCCTCAAACTTCGTCCTGAATGGCCTTTGTCATGCACTGGGGCTTTCTTGGGGCTTCCCAATCCCCAATCCCAGCTAAAAAAAGAAAAAAAGAAGATCTGACATTTTACAGAAACTATACATACAGGGAGGTTGACCTTGTTTCCTAAGGTCCGCAATTTTTTTTTTTCTTTTGGAAAAAGACGCAAATTTTATTTCTGTCATTTCAGAAAAAAAAAAAAAAAAAAGGTGTGTGCCGGGGGGGGGGGGGGTCCCGTGGAAAATTAGTAACGGTTACAAGTAATTTTTATTACTTCAAAAAGTAATCAGATTACTCTTGTGATTACTGCCTAATAAATGTAATCAACTGATTACAAAATTACTCCAAAAAGTAATCGATTACAAGTAATTTGATTACTTGTAATGCGTACGGTACAAGTCTGCTCCAACCCCAACCCTCTTAACCCCCCCCCCCCAACCCGACCCGAAAAAAATCCACTCTAATGAAAAAAAAAAAAGAAAGACGTTTACAATTCCCTGTAACTCCGAATTAAAGCACAGCTCTTGAGGACGAAGGGAGAATACAAAGATGCCCTCCTCCTCCTCTGTACCCTCTCCGCCTCCTCCCCTCCTCCTCTTGTTCTCTTCCCCTCCTCCTACCTTCCTCCTCCCTTCGCTCTCTCCTCCCTCGTGATGTCACTCGTGACCCTAGTGATCCTCGTGACGTCACTCGTGAAGGCTTCGTGAAGGTCGTGACCTTCACGTGATCTTCACTGTGAAGGTCGTGACCTTCATCGTGACCTTCACAAGTGACCTTCGTGACGTTAATTGTGATCCTAGAGACCCTCGTGACGACACACGTGACGACACGTGTGAAGTCATTATGTGAAACGTCCCATAATGCAACGCGCGGTTACGCCGAAGGTGACGGCGACCCGCTCAAGCCGGAAACGGGAGCCTAAGAGCTGTGCTTTAAAAAAAGAAAAGATTCTGTAACGCGATAAGCAAGAGGGCGAATAAGGAAGAAGATAGTGAAGCCGACGTCTGTTAAAATATTGAACACTGACTCGTGGACCCTGTGCAAGACGTTCGGGGAAGCCTGAGAACGCCGTGCAAAGACGACCAGCTGGGCTACGAGATCAATACAGAAACAACACCATCGCAGTAAGAGAGCAAAGTGGGCAACATGTACGGGGCATTATGACAATCAAGGAAATCCCACTTAAAAACCAAGACCCGAGCAGAAAAATCCAAATTACCAAAGACCGGTCGACGAGCAGCACTCAACCCAGAGGCGTTATCCACGGAGTATCCAGAGGAGACTCAACCAGAAACATAATCGACAACGCAATAGCGGACATTCATGAAATTATCCACGCACAGCCTATTGGAAAAAACGGAAAATATCTGCTGACCCTCAACCTGCAAGGCATCCCGAGAGGAATCGGGCTATTCGGATTAGATAGCAACGTTTTACCGTATAAACGGACGGCGGTGGTGTGCCTCAAGTCCAATGGTCTCGACGACAAGTCTACAGTGTTCACGGGCAAGCAGCCACGCAAACAGTCCGTCTGGAGAACAAACAGTGTCAAGACCAGTACCACCCCAGTGGCCGAATGAGAGGGAACGCGGCTTTTGAGGCGTCGGCATGTCCTGCCAGAGAGCGAGGCGACGAGAAATTTCGTAGAAAAGCGGCTGCCGCTTGCCAGCCAAAGGCGAGTACGTCATCGGCGAGAAAGCGCCGATAGGACGGAGGAGGATAGAAGACCACGGCTAAAAAAACTGAAAAAGAATCCCGCGCATCACAAGGACGTCAGTCACCGCAACAGCCGCACCGAAGGGGTCGGTAACCCCAAACAGCAATTGTTTCGCTTCCCTAGATAACAGGGAGTTTTCTGGCACTGAACATAGCAGCGGCTATGTACAGAGGCAGTCGGAGGACCGAAGGCAGGCACGCAGACGACAAGGACAACGACCCAGAATCTTTTTTATAGTTGACATTAGGGTAAGAGGGATTAGCCATGGAACTCGCACAGGTCAAGTTTTCGTGAAAAGTGTACAGCAACTCGAGCATGAGTACGAAATGAAGATTAAAGCCGACGCAAGACCGAAGTCAACACCAAAGCAGTGGTAGAGGCACGTAGAAAGCACGAAGCCGAGCACAAAAGACACGCAGAGCAACAGAGAATACCAAATGCGGCAGCGCGCCGCGCGAATGGAAGTCACGACCCAGCAGGTAGCTGAAAGACGAACGGCCGTGGCCACGGCGACAGTGCCTAAGACGCAGCCGAATCCTGAGACAGCCGCCGCAACGGCATCCGACAAGGAGTGTGAAGAAGGCAAACAAGATTGACAGCAAAACATGAAGCAGGAGATAAAAGCGAAAGTGCAAGAGTGGCAAATGCAAAGGATGCAAGAGTTCCATGCAATGCTAATCCAGACTGGCCCAGCACGGGATAGGCACGG